CGCGAAATCTTGACATCAAACGTGAATTTGAAAGTTTTCTTACAAAATGTACTTTTCTGTTCCAGAAGGTACATATTTAAGTGTCCTTGTTAAGGAAATTTTATTACATTTTGTATATATCACCACTACACTAATATTAAACTATACTATAACTAACAATCGTATCGTCACGCCTAGGAAATACATTGTACGCGGGAGCACAAAACAGCTGGTTCGTTCGTCGGTTGTCTCACCTATGACATACCGATGAGGACTAATAAGTCCGAAACCGGTCTGTGCCTGGTGGGTTAAACTGATGACGAACGACCCTAGCTGTTGCACTAGGTATTGCGAGTATAATTCAATGCCCGTAGGGGCATATAGCCCTCGGAGTAGTTGTTTCTCGCAACACTGACAATTAAAACATTGTCTTCGCCCTCTCTGGGTGGCAGTCGTGCAACAAGTACCTGCAATATGTCAGGTCGCTTCCTACTGTAGCATTTAAATGGCACAGTTGGGAGTCAGCACGACAGATGGAGCCATTTGCGCTCCCGCGTACAACAATATTCAAAATTGTATACTGTATATATTGTATATATATCCACTGCTCCTCATCTCCCGACCTTCCCCCGCTACTTGACCGCGTACGCGCACACATGTTTGGAGGAATTTTTCACTTACTTCGCATCGTTTTATTGGAAAATTGGAATATACGTTTTGTAGTATTTATTATACTTCTACTTTAAAAATCCGGCTGAAAAATTAAAATCGGACGGCCTCCAATGCATCTAGGGACTTTACAAAATAGTGCACCAAAAAATTCAAATTGCAATTGTGCCAAAACTAATGGTCCGACAGCACCTACTTTATGTACACATAAAGTACATATAATTCACTACTTTTGTGCAAAGGATCAGCCCTACAACTTAAAAAATGGCGGAGTAATGAATTTTTAAAAAACGCCAAATTTTCCAATCGACCTCTCGTTTTCGTATTTCGATTCTCTACAAATTGTCTGTGTATAACATCCAGATTGTTACGTTAGTTTAGGTTTTATAACCAAAAAAACTTAAAAAAATGCGTTTTTTTTCATAAAAATGTTTATAAAAAATTAATTAATGGCAAATTGAAGTAGGAAACATATAAGCATTTATCTACAGTCTTTTATATGATAGCACAGTCCGTTTGCTACTAGTATTTTTCACAACCAAAACCACAAACAAAACCTCTATTAATTAGCCTAATAGTGCCGTGCAGTCAATCAAAACCCGACGATCTCTCCACACCTAAATCCACAACAATAAGTGATCGATCGATCGTAATATGTTTTATATGTCACTTGGGAGTTATAGATATTATAATACTCCAGGGTGTTATTTCTCACGTACCTAGTGTATCTCAAAATAAGGTGCTAATTGCAAAATAACAAACTAGTAAGACATTAAAATACGTTTTTTATCGCACACAGTTAATGTTATCGACTTGGAATAAGAGAAACTTTGTAGAATTTTGTAATGTAATATTGGGTTATTTAATTTTTTTTTCAATTATGAGTAGGTACTTATAAAAAGCTTAATTGAAAAAACTCATGGCAAAATATTTATTATACAAAATTGCTTTGTAATGTAAGTAATGCAGAAAGTTTTTGGCACCCAAAATGTATTTTTTACAATTGTCTTTTAATAGTTTTTTAATAAGAAAATAATTCGTTTTCTTACGATTATATTTATAAATAGAATTACCCCTTAAATTTTTTACTTATATAGTTTCAGTTTTGAAACACATTGTATGTGTTCTCCCAGGTGACCAGGTGACCACTAGGGAATGCAATCATGAAATCAGTTTCTTCTTTGTTTTTTTTGTAAAAAAATTAACAAGGCGTAAAAGGATTTTCTAGAGCACATTATTTATTTTATTAGCAATATAAATGTATCTAATAAAAAGTTACTTCAAAACATATATTTTTTCGGATTACTTAAAGAGTGACCGCACAAACCGCTCGTTTTTTCACAATTCGCAGAGAACTAAAGAAAATAGATGAGAATATGTTTTTGGTCTCAAATTACTTGTCGTAAAAAATTAAGATGAGCATAGCTTTTAGTTTTTTGAAAATTTTCAAAAATCACCCCTATTTAGGAGTTGAAAATATGCCCAAAATGAAGAATTGAATATTATCAATAAATATAAAAACTATTAGCATGTGAATTTTTCTGTCGAATGATTTTTGATACAAATAAAGATTTATTCTCATGACTGAAATAAGCATGTTGAATTAGATAACCCTTAAGCGCGCTCAGGGGGTGGAATCATCCCCAAAAATAGAGAATATCAGAAGTAATTGTAAAAATTCCAAAAAATATATTAAGATAATTCACATACTAACAGTTTTTATATCAATTGGTAATATTCAAATTCTTCATTTTTGGCATTTTTTCAACCCCTAAGTAGGGGTGATTTTTTAAATTTACAAAATAGTAAAAGCTACGCTCATTTCAGTTTTTTACGACGAGTAATTTTCGACCAAAAACATATTTTTATGTATTTTTTAAAATTTTCTACGAATTGTGAAAAAACAGGCAAAAATCACAGGTTTTTTGCCAGGCCCGGTCTGGCTCTTTCAGGGGCCGTCGGGAAATCGAAATCGTGGCCTATTTGGTTTTGTCTGTTATTAGGGTGCATATCGACTCTCCCAAGGAAAACTGTCGTATCTTAAATTTGGTTATTCTGAGATAATTGCATTTGAACAGTTGAAAAATTAATAATGTTCGTTATTTTTTTCATTACAAGAGCTAAATCGTTCTTCTTTAACAAAGTAATTATTATTTAGGTCTTAATTAATTATTGATGATCTAAATAAAATAGCTTAGGATAAGAAAAAAATGGATTTTGAATGAGTTACTACAGTTTTCGTCAACAAAATTTTTATTGAGAAACAACTTGCTACACTAATTAGGTACAGAAAAATTAAACATTTTCTATTTTTAGATAAAAAAATAATTGGTAATAATCAATAATGACATAAAAGGAATTTATTATGATTCAGTCAGTCATCTTCTTGGTCAATATTACTTTCTTCCTGGTTTTTTGTTCGTAAGTCTAGTTCTTTATGATTTTTTCCAAAATTATACACAAAAAATACTTACTTTATTGGGAGACTTTGGATCACAGTGGATTCTCTTATTTTGCTGATTTTTACAGCCTCTCTAGCAATTTTTTTTTCCAGTTTTGTTTCTTTACCATTGATTTAAAAGTTACAAAGCGGTCTAGTGTTGTGTTTTCCTCTTCTGTCCCGTTCTACAGTACCACCTTCACAAATTTTTTGCAAAGCGGCGCTTACAACTGCTTCAGAAATTGCAAGCAAATTTAAGAACATCATTTTGCAAATTTGTTTCTCATTATTGCCAATGACAAACTTATAATTGCGAGAGAAATTCCTTTTGGACAGTAACCTGCTCTTTTTCTCGTTGTGTCACGCACCTTACAAGAAAATCCCACTGCCGAGTATGATTTCCAAGATTCCAAAATTCGTCAAAAATGACTTTTCAAGCTTCTTCATTTATATTTTTGTTGCATTTATACCTGCAAGTTTATTTACAAGGTGTTTTCATTACCTTTGCAAAAATAAGTTTGTCTACGATTTTTATGTAATAAAAATTTCATTCAAATTTTAATTTATAAATTGATTCTGTTTCACTAACGCGTGCAACGCGCAAACGCGGAAGACATGACAGAAACTATTTACATGCTGCCATCTGGATCGAGCTTGCAAGGCAAACTCTCCCATCTATTTGCAGCTCAAGTTAAAGCTTATTAGTTATTTCAAGCACCATCTTTAATATGCTTGCCCTTATAGTAGTTATTCTGTTTTTAAATAATTTTTTTAACAGAAAAAAACTCATTGGGATAGGTGACTGAATCGTCATTTCTCCAGCTCCAGTACAATCTACGAATATTTATTTGCAGTTCAAATTAAAGCTCATTTCAAGCGCTATGCCGCTATCTGTAGGAATATAAGTATACTCACCACTGCAGTACTCATGCCGTTTTCACAGATTTTATTTACGCTATAGCTCTATAATAGGCTACGTCCAAACTATTATTAGTTTTAAAATTATATAAAATTATATTAATATAGGTAATAAACTTAAACCTATCGACTCAGGATACAGGAAATCAATAATAGTTTGGACATAGTCCAAGGGCTTTAAAAAATTTTAAAGCTCTCGGTTATTATTTATATTCTCATTTTTTCTTCCCGGCACATAACTTATACGGCTATAGAGTAAAGGGTTATTATAAGCTTAAAAGACTTACAGTTTGGGAGATATTAATTTCTCTCGTTTTTCCCCCAAGCCCACGGCTTATAGATAAAGGAGTTATTAGTTTAAAGGACTTACGATTTGGAATATATATTTATTTCTCTCTTTCTTTCCTGTAGGTACACTGTTTGTAGGGGTATAGGGCAAAATAATAAAATTTTTGTTATTTTTTTGACCGGGGAAAATCCCATTTCTACAAACAATTCAATTTTCATTTTTACGTTCTTCTTTTTTCTTTTCAATTTACGGTGGCTATATCTCAAGAATTTACAAAAAATTTTCTTATAGTTTTGGCACCTCATTAGTCGTTTGGGGGCCTATCTTCCAAAATAAGTAAGGTTTTGCCGACTGCCCGACCTGGCCAGTTTTTTGCGGTCACTCTTTGCTTTTCATGAAAAAACAAACAAAATTTTTTTTTTTAATGGACATCAGTAGTACTTTTCGTTTGGCTGTTAAACTGTTAATTATGAATATTTTAAAATGGGATAATTTAATTAATTAAAACAATAATTCTTAACAAAAAATTTATTAGATAAGTACACGAACATAAAAAATTCACAAATATAAAATATGTACATGTATACTTACATATGATCATTCTGAGTGTAATAATTTAATGATTCTATATTATAAATATCTATTCTGTATAGATATTTTTTATACTTATAATATAGGTATACTTAATAATAAAAAGTGACTAGACAAAATTAAATGTAGAAAATTAATTACATATTTATAATAATACTCTTGACTCTTTTCGTTAAAAAATAAATACAAAATGCCTCCTTCGTTGGCATCACCATGGTATACTCAAAATTGATAAATGTTATCCTAATAGGTGTGCTCGATAAAGCTGCGGCAGGAAAGTCTCTTTATTCAGAAGTAAAAAAATGCTTCAAGCAAGGAGGGCGTCCATAATCCAGTTTATTTTCAAAATATAAATTGCACAAATTAACTTCAAGACTTAACAGTAACTGCTGGAATGGACTTGGAGAATGAGTCTTTTTGCTTTTTTGAAGGTGGATTCTTAATACTTTCAATTATCTGAAACATTAAACCGATTATTAATTTTTTGTAACTACATAAAAGATGGATCAGATTATGTAGGGTGTTCATTATGAACTGTACATAAGAGAATGGGGCAACCAAGCTGAGCAGGGAATGACTACATAAAAAAGCTGAAAATTTGTCAATTTTTAAAATTGGTTATTTCTGTCAGAGATCTCAAAAAGAAGGGAAGGAGTAATTGTTAAGTTTTACTTCTCTACTTTTACTTTACTTTAAGTATAATTTTCAATAATTAAAATACAGATGTTGGCTGATTTCATAGGCAATGAGAAATAACATTACACACTAGTACAGTGGCGGCTGGCGATAGTTTTTGTCCTTAGTTTATATACTTTCAAAATTATATGAAATGGAAAAAATAAGCAGAACAAACTTTGTCAGTGGCCACATAGAAATGGGAATTTTACCAATATCATAGAATTTTGGAACTTTGTTAAGCTTCAGTGATGTACTTATACCAAAAATAAATAAATTTCTATTAATGGTTCACAACCTATGAATATACATAGAATAATCAGTCAGTGGCTTAGGACATTTTTGAATGGTCATTCCGTGCTCTCCTAAATTACATTATTATATCTCGAAGTAAATTTTGAATAAATACTCACTGTAACAAGTCTATCAAATCCATATAAAAGTCCCTCTTCATGATTACCCTGAATCCAAGGGGTCCTGTGGTTAACAGTCATACCTTCAGGTAACTTATTAGTTTTGGCAAAGTCAATAAGCCAAACACCAACTCTGCTATCATCATATATTATAAATAAACTACTTCCAACTACTTCTCTTGTTTTGAAATAGTCAGATTGTTCTATCTTGCTCCTAATTTCACATAGTCTTGTTAATAGTCTTTGCCTTACATCTTCTCTACCTCCTAAAAACATGTCTAGAGTATAGAAAACTTCTTCAGATGATTTGACTTTTTTCAAGTTTGTCACAGGTGGCGATCCTCTACATTTCATAGCTTCTATTCTGAAGCCTTGGCAGCAGGAGGAGGACTGTAATTCACGAAACTGCATATAACGAAGTTTAGTAACAGCCTTATTCTTATGTTCTTCTTTAGTAGGAGCATGGGGATCAATAGCAATCATTTTCTGATATAAATCTGTTCGAGCACTACTCTTCTGGACCTCAGATTCCAAAAATGTTCGAGTACCCATTTTTATATCAATAACATAAGGATCCTGTAAAAAAATTGAGTTTTATTCTTGATAATATTAAAGTAAGTAAAGTACTACTAAATTTCAACTCAAATGTACAGCTACCTTAGTAAGAAAGGTATTTAGATATGTGTAAGTACCTGAAATCCATGTAGTAGGTCTTGTAACTCGATAAATTTTTCTCCTTGGTATTCGACTTCTCTGTAATATTTTGGTATTATATCACATAAATTTGGATCCTTCATAACTTCCTCATATACAATTCTTTCCGTGTCATCAGAATTAAAAGACCTTTTCTTCCAAACTGTTCCTGGACCTGCAGGTGCAAGACTGTCAGGATGTCCACTTAACTGGAACCAATTGGAGCAACGACTCTTTAATAATACATCACTTGCTGGGGCAGTGAGGTCCAAGGCATTCTAAAATTAAAAAAGGCATAAGCAACACAGTTAATAAGACGATTTTGAATATGAAATATTCAAATTTTATATCAAATATGAATTATAATATGAAAATAAAGAGTTTTAAGCATCACTATAAAAAATTGTAAGTAATGTATGGACCGACATAAATAAGTTTGCGTCTGAGATAGCTCCGCCCACAAATACGCATTGGAAATCGCCTTCTAGATTTCTTCTAGACGAAGGCGTTCTTTCTCAATCTTGCGCACCTCTGCCTATGTCAGAATCGCAAATTTACTTGTGTTGGTCTGTATCTAATATGTAAGAAATATATAAAGGAAGAGTCAGACTTTATCTGAATAAGTTCGAGAGGTTAAAAAAAGTAATGCCACTTTTTATTGGAATATTTTTTATTTTGCGGCCCTGTAAGTCCTCAAAAAAATTCTTATTTTTCAATATCTTGAGTATGGACGATATGTCAACAAAATTTAATATGATTTGTGAGTTGATAGATGACTCTAAGCTGGCACAATACAAGATTTTTCTACAAGAGTTTCTGTACTTCTAACCGGTTTCAAGAAAATTTATTTTTCACATTTAATGTAGGGATTTATTGTTAGTGATCAGAGATCATGCAATTAGTAAATGACAATTTTTTGATTTTCATTGCATATCTTTCATCCAAAATCTCCTTTTTATTGTTTTTTAAATCCCGGAAGAGAATTTGAAAAATGAAATTTTCTTAGAAACAAAGAAATAGAAAAAAATTCAAGAATATTTTTTACTTTAGTATAAAAAGCCGCTTTAGAAAATTATATCCGACTTAATTTTGCAAAGGGATTAATTTTTTCTTCAACTTTATGATATGGGTTATCCATATCTTTGCCACTGACTGATGGAAAAATTTGGTATTGACAGCTTATTAGCCATCTATCAACTCACAAAACATACTAAGTTTGGTTGTCCCTACTGGATATTATAAAAAAATAAGAATTTATTTGATGACTTCCTCTTACACCTCTTACCTCCCTTACAGGCCTTCAAAATTAAATATAATATAAGATAAAGTAGCATTATATTTTTTACATTTCGAAGTTATACAGATAAAATCTGAATCACCCTGTCTACAGTTTATTTTTCATTTTATTAAAAAAATATATTGTTAAAAAATTGTTGATTAAGTAAAACCGAAAGAAAATTGCTGAAAAAAATGAAAGAAAATTTAAATTTTTGTCAGTCATGTTAGTCGATCAAACTTATCGTCCAACGGATGAGTCATTAGTTTTAGAGTTGAAACGTATTTGAAGCAAGCAATATTTATTAGTCGACTTGGGCCACCAGATTATGGCTCTTTCTGTAGTTTATTTGTCATTTTTAAGGGCAAGACAATGAATATTTATTCAATATAAATGAGTACAGTAGCGACTCCTATGTACATAAACAAAAGATAAACATATTAAAATATAAATAATGTTGAATGTAACTACCTTACTATAAATGTAAAAGAATGAATATTTAGGTAAGCCTCCTAAAGTTTTGGAAAACTTGAGCGTAAATGTATATATTCTGATCAAAATTCTATAATTCAAATTAAATGTAAATAATTTCTAACGCCAAATTTGTTCTATATTGACATGTCTATATAATATATAAGCATACAATTTAAATTGAAATCTATATGATTTCTTCAGTTACATACGGTAGAAATCGTGTTTAAAAAGTCTGTTTAAGTCTAAATGTAAACTTAACGTTATATTGCGTCAAGTTTGAAGAAACGTTACCAGTTTTGCATTATAAAATGATGTGAAGATGTTTAGGCTGCAACAACTCTGGATTATTAGAAAAACGACAGAAAGTTGCATTTTCATGCCATATTTCATACCATGGTTTTGTCAGTCTAGCTCTCAAGTGACGTCACCACATGCGCTTAGGCGCATTATATTATTTTCATATCACGGTGTGAACAAAAACTTGAGTCGATTTTATGAGCTAATACTAAAATTGAACCATGAGAATCCGCCTTTATTGTACAGTCTAGTTTGTTCCCCAAAAGTTATTTTCATCTCAATCATTGCATTGGATTACCGAATCAATGAAAATGGGAACCAAGATAAAAGAAATGTTGCCAAAAATACACATAAATATACCTACTCGAAATATTTCAACAAAAAGTTTCTAGAAAGTTATCTTTATCTTGATATTTCAATTTTTTTTTTCAAATATTACTTAACAAGTTAATTTTTCTATTTATTTAAACATTGAATTAAATTAATTAAAATTAAATATCCATTATTTTTTGTCCAAAGTGATATAGTACCTAACTAAAATTTTCGTATCCTCAAGTTTAATCATATTTACTTCACCAATAAATAATAGTTTTAGAAATATTGTCAAATTCTAATAGTTTTTATCAAAACTTTAATAAATAAAAAAGAAAAACACCCCGCATATGCATAGGTATATACCTACATAGTGTTCCATTTCGAATATCCAACAACGCAAATTGGTATATAAACTGGAAATATATTACAAAACATATTCCATTGTGAATGTTACAGCTAATGTTTGAAGAATTACGTAAATGTATTTTATTTATTTACATTGCCATTATTGACGAGGCTATTGTAAGGTTTTATTCAAAATATATGTATATCACGTATAAAAATCAATAAAATATTGATCGTATGTACATGAATCTTCATTAATGGCAGGTAAACGAAGATGTGTACAAAAATTGCAAATTTTACCTTGAGTGACGAATATGACGGCATTTTAAGGTCACAAAAAAAACGAGGATCACATTTCGCATAACAAATATCTATAATATTAAAATACAGATTGACGTCAATGATACTTTATAAAGGCAAAAGGTGCATATATTTCAAATGAATTAAGATTTCCAGTGGCTGCGTCAGCATGTTGTACCTATACATAGGGTGTCTAGTTTCAAGTATGTATACGTATTTTTAAGGACATGCCTGAATAACTACGGAAAAATATTTTTTTTGATAGATCTTAAAGAACGGAAGTTTAGAGAAGTGTGACACTGAAAAAAGTTATATCATTTTTATTATAAAAATTTGAATACCTACAGGTACGTGATTCAGATGTTAGCAGTGTCGTAGCTAAGGTCATGAGCATCTAGGGCAAGATTTGAATTTTGCATCCTCCAAAACTTTTTTATAGGAAGAGAAACAATACAATAACTTTAAAGTATAATTTTCGAGTGCACCCCCTTGACGTTTGCGCCCCTGGCAGCCGCTCCGCTTCCAGATGGATCATTAAAAAATATACCTAGATTGCACTTTTCCACCTTTCAAATTTAAAAAATTAAATCTTAGTTTGTCAACATATGCAAGGCTGCTTTAATTAAAATTAATCAATGACAGATTTTTTTGACTGCTCTCATTTAAAAGCGATTTAACATAAGAAAAATATCTAATTAATAAAACTCAGTTGAAATTCAAATTTTCCAAAAGCTTTCAAAGAAATATATCTAGATACCTATTACTAGCTATTTGCATTGAATTTATTGAAGGTGTCGCATAGGAGGGCGTTGACGTAGTGACTATAGTTTTTCGTAGTCAAGTCTGATTTTCTTTTTCTTCATATTAAAAAGTGGGGAGTATGTGCAGGTAAGTATCAAATACATAACATTTTTTAGCCTACACAGGTGGTCTGATTTAACGCACATAGGTATGTACTGACAATTAAAAAAATGAAGGAACTGGATCGTAATAAAATTAGTAACTTACAATTGCTAAAAATTTCAGTAGAGACATATCATCTTCTGTTCTGTCTTTGGAGTTTGTGGCAAATTTCGATCCATTCAGAGCATTTCTTGATTCTGCAGATTTAAGATTAGTTCTGATTTTCCACCTTTTGAAAGCATTATGTGGTGATGGTGACCTTGTGGATCTTTCCCGTCCAGATTCAGTTGCTTCCAATTCTTTTTCGCTCGTCTGAAAAAGAAACATTCAAAATAAAACTTTTTTCTGCAAAATTATAATAATTTTTAAGATTAGCTCTCGAATAACTGAGGAAAAGCAGCGATTCGTTGCTGCCGCTGTGCGGTCCCGCTATGTGGGGAGGTGAAAATGAAAATTAGTATTGATTTTTATTGTATATTTTACCTCAATTATTATAGACAACTTACATATTTTTTAAAATTTATGAACGAATTAACTTTTGAGATTTTATGCAAGTAACTTTAGTAACGAGATAACAACAAATTAATTTACACCTAAAGCAATAAAAAAATAATAATATTTTCTGTGAAAATAAGATTGATTTACCCTGACAACTTCATTATGTACTGTCGTCTTCCACCGCGTTCCTTTGTCGTTTCGGATATTCGGGCCCCAAATTGGGTGCCATGTCGTCTTTCGCCATCATGTACCTCCAATATGGGGATAACCGGAATTTTTACCGAGCTCCCCATCTATTGCCTGCGATGCTGGGACTCTTGTCTCCATCTTTATAGATATTTGAATATATGATTTTTTAAATTTTAACACGCAGTGTTCTTCGACCTTTGTTTATCTGAATCCTTTGAATGGGGGTCATATTTAAACGGTAGACACCTTTGACCTTTATAAACGCATATTATAAGTCAGTTTTCTCAAATTCCGTCGTCAACTTCTTTCTTAGGGATTGCACAGGGCTAGTGTGACTTCAAACAACCACGCACATTAGCCGCAAGCGTATTTTGCTAGAATTTTATAACTTTTTAATACATGTTTTAATTTTTTTAAATACGTCCCTGTACACTTTTATGAACATGTGGCTGTGTGCAATTGTTTACTTCGTTTAAGTATGTAGTGACCGTAGTATATTTTACCTAAAATAGGTCAATGTCAGGGGTCATTGACACAGAGATTCACACATGTTTTAAAAAATAAATACTTTTTATTAAAAACTTGAAATTATTTAAAAAGATATTGCGAATCTATCAAATTAGAAAATATATTTATTAATTTTTATGGATAGCAAAAGCAATTATTTTAAAACATAAATTACTTACAATAATTAAATAATGTATACCTATCCACATACCAATATTAATTAATATTTAATAAATCGTGTAAAATATATCACAAAAAACACGTAATTTTTTTCTGTTTGTCCCTTCATTCGCATGGACATAAAAAAATATGGTGACTTTAAAATAATATGTCACAGTATCATACACACGCAATCTGTTTTTACAAAATTATTTTCGATTTCAATTTCACTTTCTGCCACTCCGTTAGTTTCATACAGTTGGATTAAAACGATAGGTAATAACTGTCAACACTGATAAATTTACAACCAAATTCGAGAGATTCCCAGTGACGCTGTAGAGAAGAGTTCAAGCGCAGATTAGAAAACGGAATTATAACTCGAGTAATATATTTAACTTAAAAAAATAATAATTTCAGATTAGTATCTGAAGAACACGTACTATTACTCCTAAAAATTGGCCACCACTTAAAGTTACGCCCTGTATAAATAATGACCTTTTATTCCGTTTGTGTATAAACGTCAATTAATCAATGTTTAAAATGTACTAACGAACTATAAATGTATTGGCGTCAGAACCTCGTAATTTTCCGTTTTACGTTATGTTATGTTTGTCAAAGAAATTGATAACTAAATAAAAAGTTTGGTAATTGAATATAATATTCAAATGGGACATTAATAAACAAATATTTCAAATATCGAAAATATCTATTTAAATACCTATAATTTTAGTTTAATTGAAATTTTGTTTTAAAGAAAATTAATGTACTTATTTACAAATAACACATGCTGGCCTTTTTCCGAACAGGCAAATTCAAAATTCAAAAATTATACCCTATAAACAGGATATAACTAAAATGCTTGCCCAAAGATAAAGACCGAATTCTAAATGACAAATTAATAAAAAAAATATATTTATGAGTGTCTATAAGGTACATGGACAACTAAAACCAGAGATTCCTTGGATCAATATAAGTCAGTATACACTTCACTTAGATTAACCTACACAGAAAAAAGAACTCCTATTGATGCATATTTTTTCTCAAACTATTTTATATGCTGAAAATACAGTAATACCATAAACGTATTAGAGTATAGTACATACATAAGAAAATAATCAATTTTTTAACGTCAAAATAGTCTAGACTAGAAAATGTAATTTTCTTGACGATTTTGGTTAAAGTACCTGCTGCTCATGCTATTGTAGGTAATGTAAGTAAGTCATTGGTAAAAATTTGTTTCTATTTTATACAAGGTGATTCATAAACGGTTACCATAAATAAAACCTCGTATTCTTTGGTGCATTTTAAGGGATCTTTTTAGGTTTGGTTTTTTAAGTTTTACTCGAAAATCAGGCTTTATTCGAAAAACATAAGAGAGTAGTAATTTGTAGAAAATTGAAAGACAAATCCGAAAATATCATGATTGCCACCGATACCCTGTATCTCCGCCACTGGAGAATCTAAATTTTAGGAAAATGCCTCAGATTTTGAATAATGTTTACATACATACATGTGCCCAATTTCAAATTATTTCCTTACTAGTTTTTAAATTATTTAAAAAAATTTAAAATATTTTTTTAAATAATAATAACATGCATACGTTGTAGAGTAAAAGTAAATGTATTTTAAATATTGAAAGAGTATATTCGTCGCCCTAGTGCACGTTGCCAATATACAGGTAGAATAACAAACAAAAATGACAATGGAAAAATAAGCAGTGAAAATAAACCAGTTTGTATGTGAAGGGAAATGATGGTAACGAAAAATATTTTGGTTATGGCAAACAATATTGCTTCAGTAAAAGCACAAAAACGTCGTTTCTTTGTATCAGAGCGAATTATTTAATTTTGTTTATTTGTATCTCTTAGTTTGCTATAGATATAACCTCAACTTATAAGCTGTTCATATATTAGATGAGTAGATTTCTATTAATTGGTTTCTTAGCGACAAAAAAAAACGAGCTTCCTTAAAGAATTTTAATATTATTTTTATTTACTGATTTCTAGACGATCAGAAACATCATTTAGGAACACTAATGATCAAACCTAATATATATCATGTTATCGGTACATCCATGAAGATTATACTAAATAGATGTTACAAAGCATATGTCATATGTCTATCTTTATATGACATTGCTACCTTATGTCCAAGGGCACATTTAGGTTATATCTCACCAATACTTAAAAGTCGAAACATGTCTGTGGCTAGCTAAAACATTCGTCTGTCCTCTTGCCTAAGGCATACTGACGAGAGCTAATAACTTCGAAACCGCTCTGGTGATTGTCCAAATGAATGATCTTATCTATTTATTAGTACAAAAAAAATTTTTTGCTAGTCATAACCATATCTCCATTACGTCAGTCACCATCTGTTTATGGGAAAGACATGGTCATTACTATAAATTATTTGTAAACTAAATTTGTCATGGTTTTTTCATTATACTACTTCAAAGGGTTTTTCTATTTTTCTTCTGTTGAAAATATCGATTATATAAAATTTATTCACCAACTATCCTGCCTTTGCCCTACCTAAAGATTGTTATCTGAATTGTAATTCCTTTCATTTTGTGGAAAGCCAACGGTCCGTGCGCTATAACATGCGCTCGGTTAAAGTGTGAGGCAGCATTGTATTTCAGATTATAAAGCTATACAATATACTGTATTTAAATGAATGAGGGGTCTAGAATGTATGTTTAAATTTTCTGTTTTAAAAAAACTGTCTAATTTTTATTTCAACATATTGCTTGATATGATTATAATTAAATTTTTTGTATTACATATAGATAACTGTAATAAAAGTTTATCAAAAGAAGGCGACTGTAAACAAACCAGAATAGTTTAAGAAAACCCCACAGTTTGCAAAAAATGCTCCATAAATGTCACAAATCGCATTTTTCAAAGAATATGGTATTAATTAAAAATAAAAAGCGTCATCATTAGTCAATAATGATAACATTATTTTTTTTAATGAAATACTTTTATCACAAAAGCAATTGTTTTCGTCAAGGTAATTTTTTTCAAGACTTTTATTAACTACTTCGAAAAAAATGAACTTTATCTTTTATGGACATAGTTTTTTTGTTTTAAATACCACTGATTACTTAGATTAAAGACAAGGATAATATAAAAAAAAAATGCGTAGCGGCTATCTTTGGAAAATGTAAAGCAATATGAGGCAACTGTATTTATTACTCATTTTTAAGATCGTTTAATAAAAATATTTATTACCAGCTATACTTTCCATTTCGATTCGATCTATGATCTCGATCTATAATTATTTATTAGTAAAGATTTGTCTACCTTATTTCATCTTTTGTTTAGTAATAACATTTTTTCAATGACTCTCATGGTGCCTATTAAGGCGCAGTTATACGGCGTGTAGTTCCGGAAAGTTGTTTCGTCGACTCAAGAACTAGTTCGTTATGGCTCGCTTGAGTTCTTGATATTTTTCCGAAAATCGAAAACAATTGGGTTAAATAGCAGGAAAACTATAACATCGTTTAAAATTATTTATTCGATGACGTGCGAAATTAAAATTTGAACTGGTACTTTTTAAGTACCTAATTTTTAATTTATTTGGATTTTTTCAATTTAAAAAGAGAAGGGCCGCTAAAATCACTTCTTGTTTTATGGAGATTTTTGATACTTTAACACCATTGGAATAGGAATATGGAAGTTCATGTCGATAACATAGTCAAATTAAATTTATTATTGTCAAGAGATAAATGGAGAACATTTAGAACATCGTTTTTTTATTTTTTATTATATTAATGATGAACAAAGCCAAAACTTATCTATGTATTAAACATCAAAAGCAACATATTTTGTCCAACATTTTTTTTTTTTCGAAAAACTACTTTTTAATATAACGTATTCTTCTAAAATCAAATTCTTAGTAGATTTAATAATAAACAAAGAGATGCACAAAAAATGAGGACTAACGAGAGTTAATATGTA